ACAAGGTTCAACACCGGCAAATCAATCCAAAACGGCTCGTTGATTCTCTACCAACTGCTCCGGGAAATCTGCAGGACATCGCCAGGAGAGAAAGTCAGTTTTGGAGCCGCTCGGTCCTATTCCCAAAGAAGCGAGTAAAGCTGCCAGTCAAGAAGCTTGGACCAATGAGAGAATCCCAAACAATATCAATTGCTGGAGTCGCCGCAACCCGCAGCAACTTGGCAGAAAATTGCGGCGCCCAAAGGCACTTTGGGCGCATAGAAGTACAGGATTCCTGCTGGAGAATTCACCTCAGCAAAGGCGCGTTTCAAGCGCTGCGACCTTGACGGTCGAAGAAAGATAAACCATCCTCAGAAGTGAAATGTTTGCGTCTGATGACGCACGACATTAATACTGGGAAATGTCCAACACCGATGGGTTTCTCCAACCGTCCAAACGGACGACCTTGTACTATCGTGCAGGAGGTACGAATAAATCAGAAAGAGGAGGCCTCAAAGATTAAAGCGCACTGTCTTGCTCGAAGCTCACCGGCAGTACTCTCAGAATGCAACTGTATCAGCAGTCCTCAGGGTTTCCAAGTATCGAGAGACTTTTAGTGTCCGAAACGCCAAAACCAAGGCATAGGCGTTCTCAACGAAGAGAATAGCGTCAAAGACGGTGACATCGAGAGTCTCCGCCAACATAACCAACAGAGGGACGTCGATACGAGATGATCTCGAATACATACTGAAACATCCGAACCTAGAACCGCGTCTGCAGTCCGGAGCCATTGAACGAGCAACCTATGTAGGGTTCGGACAAGACACCCTTCAGAAGATGAAGAATCCGATGCCGGTTCCGCGGTGGGTCAGATATATGTTCAGTGAGGGACAACCCCGCGGGCCCTGGATGATAAGTGCGGAACAGATGGAAGATCTTGAAGACGTTTGGCTAAGCAGAAAGAAATTTCAATTTGGATGGAGATGGCCATGCAGCAGATAGAGAAATGCCATGACCAACAGATGCCAAGCATTGGCGAACCAACAAGGGAGCAGAATCAATCGTAACCGATTAATCTTGGAAGATGAGGATGCGAATGCTCGTAATACCAATGATCTCCGTCACGCAGGGGGTGGTAATGAGAATGCTGGCGAAGACAACAGCGAAAATCTTGGAAGATCAAAATTGAGAGCAAGAATCAATACGTTGATTTCGCTCAGAGACAAAAGCAAGACGGCATTCCTTGTCCATACCCAGGGAGTGGGATCAATCCCATATCGGGCGAAGTTCAATCTAATTAACTTCACGCGTTTAATGGGATGGGTTCCCTACCTCAGGCATTTGATATATTTCAATCGGCACATGGGAGTCATCTCTGGTAATGACCTCTGATGGTGCGGTGATTCGTTGGCAAGCTCTTCGCGGAGCGCCTTCGATTGGTATCGTCGCTCAAGCCAGGGAGCATAAATAGTGGGACGACATGGGTCAAGTTCCTCGCAACGATCTTCGATGCCGACACCGAAGTTCTATTGGTCATTG